TAATTATAATATAAAAAAAATTTAAATCTTAAATATATAAAACAAATATACAAATTATATTTTACATTTGTAGAATAAAATTAATTTAAATTATATTGAATTTTTATACTTCCTTTTTTTCAAAATAATTTATCTAATTTCATTTTTTATCAACTATATTAATAAAATCATAATTTTTCTTTTGTGTCCATATTATTCCTAATCATTTTTTAGTTATATGATTTACATTAAATATGTGTTTTTTTATTTATAAATTCACTCATTTTTTTAAATATTTTTTATATTCTTCGTAATTTAGTATTTAATAAAATTTCCTTATATTTTTTTATGAATTCAAAATATAATTTTTTTTCGTAGTCATTTCAATATTGAATATTTATTATTTATTTTTATTAAATTTTATTAGTTTATTACAAATTTTTTTAGTTATTAATTTGTTATATTTATAAAATTTACTTTTTGAGTTATTACAATTTGAATTTTCATTGAAAGTTTAATTTTAAAGTTTATCAAACTAATTACACATGATTATTCTTTAAAATCATGAAATAGGAAATTGCTTTCGTTTTTAATATAATAATTATTAAATTGAGAATAATATTAGGATTAGTTATTATATATATCTTATTAAGCGATTTTTTGTTATTAATAATATTCTAATTAAGATATTAAATAATAGGAAATGCATTTATTTTTATATTTTTTCTCTATTAATAATTTATAAAAAAACATTTATAATATATAATTAATAAAATCAACATATAATATAATAATAAAATATATAAAATAAAAATTATTTATATATTGTATAATTAAATTTTTAAAAATAATTATTAATAAAAAATATATTTTTTTTTTATAAAAATTAAATAATAACTTATAAGTTTTTATTTTAAATTATTTTTTAAATATTTTAGTTAATTATTAACTTTTATAATTTTATATATTTTCTAAAATATTATTTTTTAGTTTATTTTTAATAAAATTAATTATAGTTTAGAAAAAATATAATATAATATATTTAAACTAAATTTTAAGAAATAAGCATTTTATTTAAAAATAAAGTATAAAATAATTACTAGAAAAATATATAAAATGAAAAAAATGAAAAAAAATTATTTTAAAAAGAAAATTTAAATATAAAAAAATATTATTTTTATAATTTTTAATATTAATTTTTAGTTTATAATTTAAAATAATATTAATATATCTTTTTTAAATAAATTATTTGTTGTTTATTATAAAAAATTAATATTGTAAGCAATTATACCAATGTATAAAAATCAAATATAAAAATTGGATTTAAAATATATTGAATATTATGTAGTATTTTTGATATATAAAATACAGTTAATATTTACTTTAAAAGTCTTAAAGTCATTTTTAATATTTAAATTTTATTATTTGCTATATAATAATTTTTTTTAATTTAAATTTATTTTATTTAATAATAAAATTAAATTAAAATCCAATTATTTAAATTATTTTTTGTTTAAATTAATAATATTTACTTTTATATTTTTATTATAAGTATAATTATATAATTTATTATTATAGAATTTTAATATATGACATTTAATTTTTTTTAACAATGTATTAATAATATATATTTAATAAAAAAGATTATTTATTTATTTTTAAAAACTTTTTTTAATTTTAGAAATTTGAATAAAATTAAATTTTAAAAAATTTATTTTTAATTTATATATTATATATTATATATTTTAATATTTATTTGTATAAAATTCATTATTTTTTGGCAAATAAAGATAGATTTTTTAAATAAAATATCAATATTTAAAATATTATTATTTCATATATAAATAAAAAGAAATAAATTAAATTGAAAATAATTAATAAATATAAATAAAAAATATATAATAAAATGAAATATATATTAAATTATTCAAAAGATTTTAATTTGAAATATAGTTAATATTTCATTCTTAAAAATATTTAATTTAAAAAAAAATAAGAAAAAAAATTTATTTTATATATATATATATATATATATATTTTTATAATTTAATATTTATATATTTTATTTTTATAAAATATATTTATATTTGATATTATATATTCAATTCAATTTTTTATACTAGTTTTTAAGTTCTATTTTTTTGTTCTTTTATTATTATTAATATTTTCATATCTTATTATCCGTTGTATTAATTTATTTATTATTATATTTTTATTTTTACACTATATTTATTCTTTATAATTTTCTATCATTTATTAATTAAAAGATTATTAATGAATAAATTATAAGAATTATACGAAGTTTTAAATAATTTAAAAGTAAGCTTTTTTTAGATTATGGTTTAATTTTGATGATTCTATATACATATAAAATAAAATTATCTTTATATAAAATTAGTTAATGCTAATAATAAAACAACTTATGTGTTGTTTTTGTTAATATAAAAAATTAAAATATAATATAAATCAAAAGAATTTTAAATTAAATTTTTTATATATTATTGGATAAAGAAGTTTTTAATAATTAATTTATATAACAGAAAATACAATTTTTTTACTTACATTTAATTTTTTTTATATAATTTTTTAAAAATATAATGAAGTCTTTTTTAATTTTTATAATTTTTTTAAACAATCTATTGTTTATCAACTCATTTGGTAAAAAAAAAGTTATATTAATTCTATTAAAAAATAAAATAGAATGTGATTAAGAGATAGAAAAGCAATTAAGCGAATAGAAAATTAGTTATATATGTAAATAAAGTGATTAATAAATAATAATAAACGAAAATATGATATTAAATTTAAATTTGGTTTTGGTCAATGTAGAAGTTTAATCATAAATATAATTTGAATAAAATAAATAAATTAAAATACAAAATTTAATTTTTTAAGATATAATTATAAATTTTGAACATAAATAATTAATTGTTTTTAAAGATTACGTAGAAAATGTTATTGAGATTGAAAAATTTTAATTGTAAGGAATAAAATAAAAAATTTAATAAAAATTTAATATAATATCTAGTAAATATGATAAAAAATAACTAATATAAATTTAAAATATTTAAGTATAATTTGTATAATTGTCTTTATAAAATATTGATTCAATGACATATATTAATAGTTTAAATATAATTGATTAAAATTTTATGTTTTAAAATATTAATAACATATAATTTGAAGTTATAAATAGTAGGATTGCACCAGTTTTAGAAATCTAAGTTTGTCAAAATATAGTTATTTAAAATATAAATATAAAAGTTTTGTATGAAAAATTACCGGAAAATTAATTACTTTATTAGCTTTTTACTATCCTTATTATATAAGGTTCTAGAATTAATATTGAAAATTGTTCAATGTCTATTTAATGTAAATAAAATTAGTAAATAAATAATTATTAATTTTTTTACCAAAATTTAATTAATTTTATATTTACTGAATTGTTAATTATTAAAAATATATATGTTAATTAAATAACTAATTTCTATGGAAATATTTTTGTGATTCAATAAATTGACAGTTAAAAAGAGTCTTTTATTAATTTAGAAAATATAAAATTTAAAAATATTCTTAATTAAAATAAATAAATTAAAAAAAAAATTTAACAGATATAATGTAAATATTAAAAAAATGAATATTATTTTATTTATTTATTAATAAGATTATTTTATTGAAATTAATAATTAAAATAAATAAATATAATCATCTAATTTAAATATAAAATTAATGGAAATATAAGATTTTTGTTTATAATAATATGGTATTTTAGTGGTTAATAATTTAAATAAAATTTAAATAAATTAAATAAATATAATAAATAAAAATTTATAAATTAATTAGATTAATTAAACAAATTTAATATATTTGTTTTTAGATATAAAAAGTGAAAATTCTTATTTAAATATAGAAAATTTAATAATATAAAATATTATATTGAAGAATAATTAATACGGATTAATATTTATAAATAAAATTAATGAAATATAAATTAAAAATGTTTAAATAATTACTAATTAATTATAATGTATTTAAATCTTAAATGGAGGAATTTTAAGTATAAAAAATTCGAAAAAAGTCATAATTTAAAAAGTTAATTTTTTTTTAGAATAAATAGCAATAAAATAAATGAAAAAGGCCTTTTTTATACTCAAAAATATTGATTATATTCAAATAATTGATTTTTAATAAAATTTTAATTTAAGAAATAATCAAAATACATTGGATATTTAAATGGGTGGGCTTTTTTATTTCAAAGATGTTAAATAAACTTAAATGAATAATATTGAAATTTAAAATATAAAAATTAACGGAGAAGGTGGTTTTGGCTATTTTTTAAAAGAAATGGTAAATAAAAATAATATTGTTGTAATCTAAAATAGTAATTTTAATAATATTAGAAGTAATATGAATGGAGGAAGTTTTTTTTTAATTACTAAGATGATTATTTATGTCAATTTAATAATGTAAATATTGTAAATTCGCATTCAAATTTTGCTGGAGGAGCAATCTTTGGCGGACACTTAACATATGCTAATAATTTTTTAATTAAAAATTGTTCTGCTGTTATAGGGGGTGGATTTTATGGAACATTTTATGAATTTTTTGAAAAAAAAGGGGTTATTTTCGAGAGTAATTAGGCCTTATATGGAAATGATTTTTCGAATGAAATCAGTGAATTATAAGTGAAAAATATTTATGAATATAATGAAAATTTAGGAGATTATTTAAAAAAAGTACCAATTTAATTTAATTAAAAATAAGCTGATAATATAGATACGTATTAATTAAAAATAGAAGGAGCATATAAAGGACTTGTTTATTTGGTTGAAGTAGCTTTAAAAATTGATGAAATTTGGTTTGAATTTAATGAAAATTTTAATAATATAGGAAATATGGTTAATTTATTTGGATTAATGAAAGAAGATATTGATTATAAAAACTAATTAGATGGAGAGGAAGGTATAAATGATGATTTAATTGAAAAAAAGTTAATAGAAAATTCATAAATTATAATTAAGAAATAATAATATGTATAAAAATAATAAAAAAATTATTTTATTTTTGAAGTAAAAGTTAATAATGATTAAAAAATGTAAGAATTTACATATTTATAATTTATAAATCATGATAACTTTTATATTTGTATAAAATTATATATAAATATTATTGAATAATGTAAATCAGGTTAGTATTAAATAATTTACTAAGATATAAATTATTGCAAATATTGTTATAATTTTTCTTTTAAAAATAAGAACATTATAGATGTTTTAGAATCATAGTGTAAAAAATGTAACTCTTAAATTTTTAAAAACTGTTATGGATATATATCTGAATTAAAAAAAGGATATTGGAGAAAATCAGAAACATAACATGAAAATAATGTATAGAAATGTTAATTGTAACCAAATAATTGTAAAGGAGGAATATAATAAGGTAATTATTAATATATAAATATATATAAATAAAATATATATTTATATTTATATTTATATTTATATTTATATTTATATTTATAATTATATTTATAAACTTTTTTAAGGCGATCATACTTGTGCTATAGGACATATAGGAATTTAATGTTTAAATTGCGATACTAAAGGTATTTTTTTTGAAAATTAATATTTTATTCGCTCTCAATCATATTCTTGTTCATTATGCTAAAATAAATCTCTTTTAATTTTAAAATTTTTCTTAATTTGTTTTATGATAATAATAATATTAATAATAATATTAAAATCAAATTATAGGAAAATTAAGAATTTTTTATACGTACATTATTTGGGTAAAATGGGTATAATTTATATTGGAAATACTTATAATAATTTAAATCTTTCTGGTGTTTATTTAAAAATATTACTTTTATATCTATAAATAATTAACTTTTCATCAAGATTTTCAGGTGATTTTTACCTTAAAAATATATTTAGTTTTTAATGGGGGTTATATAATCCTTTGACAACTTAATTTATATAATTTGGATGTTTAATTCAGTTTTATTTTCCTTAAGTTAAAAGTATTGAATATACTTAGATTATTATTAACGTATCTATTCCTTTTGCTATTGTATGTATTTTTTTTATTCTTATATTTATCAGATATAGCTTTAAATAATAAATTTCTACAAATAAATTTTTCTATATTATAACAAATACACTATGCTATGCATTTTCAACTTTACTTTTCGTTCCTGTTGTAGAATCTTTAATATAGGGAGTTGTCTGTTTAGAATTAGAGAATATTAAAGAGTCTTATTCAATAACCGATTTGTCTTTAGAATGTGGGAATTAATTGAGGAAAACATATGTGTATTTTTTAGTTTTGCCTTTTCTTTTTTTATATGGAATTTTAATTCCTTTCGGAATTTTCGGAAGTCTATTTTGGAAAAAAAACTCACTTTAGAAAGTCAGTGTGGAGTTTTCGTTAGGCTTTTTTTATGTAGAGTATAAAAGTTAGTTTTTTTATTGGGAAATAATAAGGTTGTGTGTAAAAATATTGCTTGTTTTAAATTTAAACATTTTCATGTCTGAAATTTGGCTTTTAGGATATATTAACATCCTTATTTTAATTGTTTATAATATTTTAGTGGTTACTAAGTAGCCTTTTGTTAATAAAAGATTAAATTAATTGGAAAAATTATCGATTACATTAGCTATTTTTGTTATGATTTCAATTATTTTGTTCTTTTAGGCTTAAGAAAATCATAATATGACTAAAAATTAATTGTTTTTTGTCAGATTTATACTTTATTTGCAGAATTGTTTATCATTAGGATTTATTGTGTATATGGTATTGTGTATTTTATACTCTTTTTTATAAAAAAGTTAGATATATGGTGTTTTAATGGGAAAAATATTTATACGGAAACAAAAGAAAAATTTTAAGAAAATAAGGTAAGTTTTATTGGATATATAATAAAAAAATATAATAAACAATTATTAATTATGGAAATAAATAATTTTTGATATTATATAAATATAAAAAAAAATTAAATAATTTTATTTTAAATTATTTCAATCTTTATCGAAATTTTTATGAAATTTATGAAAAAAAAAAAAAATTATTAGTTTATTAATTACTTTTTGTTATTGTTATTTTGAAAAGTTTAAAGTTTATATTTGTGATATTATCAAATTCTGCTCCTATTAAAACAACTTCTTAATTTAATAATTTCGAAATCATATACAGGTGGAAAATCTTATCTATATGCTTTCATATTTATGTTCTTAGTCTTAGTAATCGCATTTATTTACTGTTTCATTATAAGAGTTTTAAAGCATTTATTATCAATTTTACAATAGAATATATTCTCTATATATATTTTTATTGTATTTATTTTGCTTTTTTTGTTTTATCAATTCTTTTTATTTTAAATAAAATGTAGGGTAATTTTCGGCTTTTATTATTTTAATTTAATTAATATATACATTTATTTTGTTAAATATTTGGTCGGGCTAAAAAATCTAAACAATTTATGAAAAATATATCTTATTATTTTTTTATTTTATTTCAAACAAAAAATACTTTGAAGAATAAAAATTTATTTTAATGTTCTTTAATATAAATATTAATATTAATATTTTAAAAGAATCTTATTTTTTTTAAAAAATAACAATACTTCAAATATATACATAATATTTTATTGTAATATGAGTTAAAAAAAAATCAAGAAAGTTCTATAGAAGGTGTAACTATTTAAAAAGTCATTATTTTAAAAGAAATTACTAAATTATATTTATGTTTAAAAATAATAATTTTCAATACAGAAATATAAAGATTTTTTAAGATAATAAAAATAATAAAGATATTATTTATATAAAAATATAAATATATAGTTATATATATGATAATTTTTATAAAAGAAAATTTTTCATTAAAAAATTATGATAATAATTTAATTTTAAAATTATATGTGAATATGAATAAAAATCTTAATTAAATTAATAGACTTTAAATTTTATGTATCTTTATAATTATTAATAAAGTTTATATTGTAATTTATTCAAGTTACAGTTATAATAAAATAACTAAATTACAATTAATGAAATTTAGTCTTAATATTATACTTTTAAGTAACATTTTACATGGGAAATGTATGAATTGAGTAGTAATTTAAGCGGAAAATATATAAGCGCTTTTAACAAAATACTTGGCTATTTTGAAATTCTTAAAGTCAATAATTAACATTTATTGAATAAAATAATATCACATATATACATAAACGAAGACAATAAAAGCGAGACTTTACATTTTTTATTTTATTTAGAAAAAATAAACTCAGGTTGATGTTTGATTATTGCTTTGTATCAATATAGAGATTAACTTGGGTGTATTT